TCCATTTGTTCCTAAAATTCATTCTTTGGTTTTAGAGAACACAAACTCATCTCAGGTACCTTTTAGGTTGGGAGATCAGCTTTTCTCCCTGTGTCATTTGGAGGTTTCCTTGTATCATTGCTACTCTATGTGGCCTCCTGTACCTCATCATCCATTTCAAGGACCCAGTACTTTTTACTAGTTGAGTCACTTATGTTTGTTAATTAGTTTATTAATCAATACTGAGTTCAATGTACCTCTTCTACCATATTTGTCTTTCATCTCTAATTGTTAATGAAAGGAGTTAACAAAGAAAAGAGTGTCAGATATAATCAAACAGGTAAAGCTATCTTTGTAGAGATCCTGGGATAGCCTGTGTGAAGGAACACCAGTGTTGCAGGCAGCTAAGTAGGCAGAAACAGTATAGGTGGTTGAATAGGGCTAGGCACTTGAAGGAGGCAGTCAGTATGGAAGAAAAGATTATCTTGCAACAGTGGAAGAGACAGGCACTTCTACTGGGACCAGACCTCAAGACAAAAGATAAAACAAATGCACCCACAAACCTCTCTAGGGATGGACAACAGGGATTGATGTTCTAAATAGGTAACCATCAATTTGAAAAAGCCAGGAAGGGTCACTAACCCCACCCCCATATAGGATAAACCCCTGTAACTGTAGTCTGTATTCATGACTCACTTCCCCATTTGATCCCGATTTAATCAATTTTATCTGAGTAATTATGCTTGGTTTTTTGTTTTTTTTTTTCCTTTCTATTTTAGGGAAGGGTCTACAAAGTGTTCAGGGTCTCACTACTAGATCAGACTCTCCTAGTGATCCTCCTGTTTACAGCCTCCCAAGAGCTGGGATTATAGGCATGCACCACCATACCTAGTTTCAATTGCTGTCTCAGCACCCCCTGGGTGTGGGACCAGCACGGCAAGCTGGGGGATCCATTGAACCCCTGGCCCCTGCCCCTGCTTGCAGGCGCTTTAATCCGCCGAGTTATTTGGTCAGCCCTGTCTGTAATTTTATTGTTTGACCATAGTGTTGTCCCACCTCATGCCCACCTTGTGATTTCCCATGTTTCCCACCTTGGATCCGCCTCATGTCATGGATTTTCTCTATAAAAATCCCTAGAAAAGGCAGATTCTAGGGCAACCCATTCCAGCCCCCTTCTGTTCCTCTCTCAGACAGAAACTTTCTTTTCCCCAATAAATATATTCTGCTCTTAACCTCTGTTGTCCCTAAAATTCAGTTTTCAATTTTAAAGAACACAAACTTGCGCCAAATATCTAGCAGATTGGGACCCCGCCCCCATATCACCAGGATGGCTCCCCTTGAAAGAAGACCATTTGTCTCCATTTTGGCTAAACTTAGCCCTAATTCCATGTATTGATATGTACAGAGCTGGCTAGGATAATACTCTACCCACTCATTTGCATTTAAACAATGCAAATAGGTCTATGGGTAGCCTTTGAAGCTGCACAACAGGTTAGTGATGCCCTTCCTATAGCTCCCTACCTCTAAGCAAGATTTAGGCCAAGGGATGCTGTGCAGTCAGCTAGAACTGAGCCTCCAGAAAGAAGCCCTAATGTCTCAAGCCAGGCAGGCCAGGCATCCAAGCTGAGGCAAGTGACCAAAAACACCAGATACTACCCCAAACTGTGTTACACAGATCCTCCAGACTTAGAAGCTATTATCAGAATCCAGTACTCTGTATATCTCTCCCTGAACATTGCAGAGGTGCTATTGTGCCTCCTACCTAGCCCAACTTACAGTTTCATGTACTTCCTGCCACTCTCACAGTCACTCAACCTGGAGCCACTCTCTTCTTCACAAATTAATGAAACCTGGGTTGGCCCTGAGTCATGGCCTTTGTTCTAGTAAGCCATTATTCTGACTGGATTTAGGACCCCTCAGGTTCCCACAACTTCAGATATGTCTTTGTCTCTTTATTCTTGCCATAAGTTGCACTGGAAGTGGAAGACTGGAAATCACTTAGTAGAATTCCAATAACTTTTCCTTGCAATTACAAATTATAAATTCCTCCAGACTTCAACAAGGCCTTGATGGTTCTTTGTAGTCTGTACTACCTCTGAATGAAGAGTTAATTATTTTCCTGTTTGATTAGTGTGGCAGGATCTCTACTGGGCTGAATTCTTGTTCCTTGTTTTCTCCTGTGGTACTTACAGTTGGCAGGTAGCTTTTTTTCCCTACAGATGATGGGGGCCCAGGTCCAACATATCTATGCCTCCAGCCTCTCCTAGGACTCTCATTTTCATGTGCCTCCAGCCAGATGGAAGAATAAGAGATAGAAGAAGAGCTTCTCTATCTGCCACTGACACTTCAAGTATCATTTGCTCTGGTAGCTCACATGGCCCAAGTGGCAGAGCAGCCTGCACAGCAGATTGGATCTGGTACAGAGCCTTTTCTTGTTCTGGGCCCTACTCAAAATCAGAAGCTTTATAAGCCATTCAATAAATGGGCCTTAGCCTGAACTGCAGAGCAAAACCTTGTCTCAAGAAACCAAAATGAAAGAGAGAGAAAGAAAGAGAGAGGAACAGAGGGAGGGAAGGAGGAAGGAAGGAAGGGAGAAATGGAGGGAAGGAGGGAGGGAAAAAGAAGGGAGGCAGCAAACTAGAATCAGATAAATGCAATGAGAATACATTCAGAACTTGCAAGTGGTTGTAGAGGATTTGGTAGCATGACTTGATTTTCTGCTAATATACATTGATGGCTCTGTGGGAAATGTGATTTTTGGCTGGGTCAAGATTGAATTTATGAAAATCAAGTATGTATTTTGAAACACAAAGCTTGGTGAGAGATGAAGTTAGCCTGAGAATTAAGGAAATGATAGAATGGGCTTGGGGGTGAATACAGAGATGAGACAAAGAGAGACAGAGAGAGGGATAGAAGGCTAAGGGGAGATAGCTTAAGGAGAGGAGACCGCAGATGATATTGTATCTTTTATGTTTATCCGCGTTTACCATATTTTTGTTCTAAGTCCAAATTCCCACCTTGCCTTATGTTCTTCTTTCTGCCTTAGTCATTAACAAATATTGTAAGCAGTTGTCCAAAGCTGAATTTATTTGCTTTCATTTTATAATAATTTGCATCTTTAGAATTGTAAGTAGAATTTTTTCATTACTCAAATGATGGATATTTTATTTTCCAAATTTTTATCAAGAGGACCTTATCAATTTGTATTTATTCCCTGCATCCTTAGTCTTTTTCTTCCAGTCCCTTTTAAAGTGTTTTATCACTGAGTTTAAATTTTCTGTATTGGATCACAGAATTATTTTAGATTTTAATATTTATATTACTTGAATCCAAATTAAAATCTTAGATCATGGGTATAGTATTCATCAAAAAATAAAAAATAAAAAAATAAAAAAATAAATGGGCCTTAAGGGCCAGCCAGATAGCTCAGCAGATTAAAGTGCCTGCTTAGGAAGGCAGAGCAACTAGGGTTCGAGGGTGTGCTGAGATGGCGAATGAGACTGGGCATGGTGGCACGTGCCTGTAATCCTAACCCTTGGGAGGCTGAAAACAGGAGGATCACTATGAGTCTGATCTCGGAAGTGAGACCCTGTATGAAGTACATTTTTAAAAAATAATTAAGGGGGTTAGCCAATAGCTCAGTGGATTAAAAGCACCTGAAAGCAGGCGCAGGGACCAGGGGTTCGATCCCTGAGCCTGTGGTGCTGGCCCCGCCCCAGGGATGCACTGAGACAGCAATTGAGACTGGGCATGGTGGCACATGCCTGTAATCCCAGCTTTTGGTAGGGTGTAAACAGGCAGATCACTATGAGTCCAATCTAGTAGTAAGACCCTAAACACCCTGGAGACCCTTCCCTAAAATGCAATAATAATAAATAAATAAATGGGCCTTTGTAAGACATCCAAGTGGGGCATATGCTGCTTCCAAAATCCAAAAAACCCCGCTATGTATAGTGCCTCTTTCTTGGTCATAGGAGGGACCAAGTGCAACAATTTATCCTTCATTTTAGAAGAGAGATCTCTACATACCCTGTACCTCTGGACTCCTAAAATATTCACTGAATCCAAGAGCCCTTGACTTTTAGACAGATTTGTTTTCTATCCTCTGGCATGCAAATGCTTTACCAATGAGTCCAGAGTAGTTTCTACCTCATGCTCACTTGATCTAATCAGCATAATGTCATCAATGTGATAAACCAGTGTGATACTTTGTGGAAGAGAAAAATGAGCAAAATCTCTTGAACTTAGTTTTAACATAGGGCTAAAGTGCAATTCCCCTGAGATATGATAGAGTAGATATTGCTGGCCTTTCCAACTGAAAGCAGATTGCCTCTAGTAGACCTACCTTGTAGTAGGTATGGAGAAAAAAACACTTGCCAAATCAATAGCTGCATATCATGTATAAAGAGGTATGTCAATTTTTTCAAGCAAGGAACTCACTTCTGATAAGTAGCCATAATTGAAATCATTACTTGATTAAGCTTATGATAATCTACCATCATTCCCATCATCCATCTTCTGCAGACCAAATAGGAGAGTTAAATGGAAATGTGGTGAAAACCACCACCCCTGCATCTTTAAAGTCTCTGATGGTGATACTAATTTTTGCAATCCCTCCAGGGATAGGATATTGTTTTTTTATTTACTATTTTCCAAGGTAGAGGCAACTTTATGGTTTCCATTGGCCTTTCCCACCATAAGAGTTCTTTCTGCATGAGTTAGAAAACCAAAATGGAGATTCTGCCAAGTATTAAATATATCCACCCCAACTAAGCCTTCTAGAGCTCACAAAAATTACTAAAGAATGGATCTGGCCACCCAGTAAACCCACAGTGAGTCGGATCATGGTTAAAAGTCCACTGGTCACATGACTTCCATAAGTTCCTACTCTTTTTTTCCTCTTCATTTTCATTTATTTAACACAAATCTCAAAACATTTGAATCAGGGCCAGGGAGATGGCTCAGTAGAATAAGCACTTCCCTGGCAAGTGCAAGGGCCTGAGTTCCATTCCCAGTTCTGGAAAAAAAAAAAAAAAAACTGAGTGAAATTGAGCCTCCTTCAACAAAGGACTTGCTTATCTCTGTATCATTCCAATTTAGTATTATGTGCTGCTGAAGCAAGCACCATAAACTCCTACCCTTTTTAACTAACATATTAATTAATTTATTTTATGTATTTGGTACAAGGTCTCATTATGCAGCTTGGACTCACAGTGATCCTCCTGTTTTCAGCCTCCCCAGTCCTGGGATTACAGGTGTGTGCCACCATACCAGGTCTCAGTGACCAATTTAGCACGCTTGGGGGCAGAGCTGGAGCAGGGATTGAACCCTGGTTCCTGCACTTGCCTAAGCAGGAGCTTAGTCTGCTGACCTATCTTGCTGGTCCTAAGCTTTGACTCTTATGGAAGGGCCACAGTTATGTTTCAGAGTTCCCAAAATCAGCATTAGTTTGGAGCCAGTGTCCAGTAGTCTCCCAAAACATAGGATCATTTTCTATTTTTCAATGAGTGGTTACACTGGTAAAAGGCCACAGGCTCCTTTAAGAAAACAGAAAAATGTTAATAGTATAACTTTTTGGTGATGCATCAGGGTCCTTTCTCAAGGGGAATTGACCTTTTCACTCAGGGAGTTCTGAGTCTGTAAACTGGCTCAAATCTAGGAATTCATCGGGGGATGTGATTCTCTGTTGCTACAATTTGAGGTAGGTTTTCGTTGATTTGCCCTGAAATTTTTGTTTATTGAAATCCAGCAAAGACTTAATGGTCTTCCTATTTTACTTATGGGAACATGCTGATTAATTAGCCAACACCATATGTCTACACAAGGCAGCCTATTGTAATGATTGCTTTGTCTCTGCTTTCCATTATGGTACATATGTCCATCTTGCCTTTGGTTGTTGGGTGCTGTCACTTCACACCTCCAACTCTGGGATTCAATTACACACATTGCACTTAGGTTTCCCAATTGAGTGACTGTGGTCTCCACTATAAGATCTGCCATAGAGGAATAACAGAGCTCTTCAAGTATTCTGGTGTTTCCTTCCCAAAACTTTTTCTTAAGTGAAGAGTACATTTTCTGGACCTTTCCAGTATGGAGGAGTCATAGGTCTTCCTAGAAAATCCACTTTAGTATTCCCATTGCCCTGAGCCATTAAATAACCTCATCAACAGTAAACCAAGGAATATGAGGCATCTCTAGATCATTTACAATAGGTCATCAGATCTATATAGTTCAACCAACTAATAAAACAAATAAACTATTAGCACTTCAAAAGAAACTCCACATATTATGACATTAAATGTACAATCTTTGCTTACTAAGCCCATATAAAAAAAAATCAGCCTAATCTAGGTTTGTGTTTCTCCCACCATTGTTCCACACCTTAAAATCCATTCCCATATCTGTTTCCCAGGCATCTGCTTGTAAGTATTAGAAATACTCAAGTTCTTTAGGGGTGTAGCATGTCTTTTCCTAGTCCACACTTTTAGAAGCCTTGGGATTTGAACCTGGTCATAAGCCTGAGGAAAAAGCAAAGAGGAAAGGTGGGTCCTGAGGAGCATCAACATTGTCTTGCTTGATAAATGCATCAAGGAAGGTCATTAATACTCCTGTAGTCCACACAGAATGTTTCCTCAGGCAAGGTGGAGAGGTCTACACCACATATGGTGGAGGTGGGGATACCTCTGCCACTGACAGTAGAACAATTTCTTCCTCTGGAAAAGCAATCACCTATCAGAATAGAGTTCAATGCCCCAGGCTCATCAAGTTCCTCCCAAACACCTCTCTCTCTCAAGGTATAGGATGCCATTCTTTTCCTATCGGCATACTCACTTTGATAGCAGACACTCTGAGACTGAGCATTACACTTGTGCTTTAATTCATCTAGTTATATGCTGAAGGCTCTACCGTATGGTTATAGGAAGAAAATTCACCTTCAGGAAACACTTAGAAGTCTTTAAATTATTTATATGTTTCGAGGCTAGGAATTTAAATCTTTGAGCTCATTCTCTTCCTTTACTAATTTGTGCAGACATGTTCACAACAACCAATCAACATTATTACACATTTCTCAGTCTTCCAAAACTGTTCAAAAGTATTATGTACAGAGTCTCTAATTCCTTGCATCTCACAAGTAATGAACTAGGACAATCAGATAGAGGTATGTTGTGTGTTACTTTAAACAGTTCACACCAATAACTCTTGGTACTCTACATCATCAGAAAGAGAGACCATGACAACTTTAGTTATTATTAGAGAGCCAACTCCTGGAACCATTAAATCTATAAGATAAATTAATCCCTATAATTCTGTTTCTCTAAAACCATTCTTAGTACCAAAATTTGTATTGATTAGGTTTCCCTCAAGGAGCAGAATCAGGGGCTGGAGAGATGGCTCAGTGGTCTAAGGCACCTACTTGGAACAAGCTTGGCAAAGCATCAGGGACCGCGGTTCAATCCCCCAGCACCACATGCCAGC